CTTTTAGATGTAGTTAGTTGGCACTTTTATGAAAGTTAATTCTAAAGTCAGGTCTTTATGAAAGTTATTTCTAAAGACAGGTAGGAATGTGTATTGATTTATCAACATTAGTAGTAGTATTGGAGCTGTTTGAAGAAGTAAGCCCAGTCCTTCTGCGTGAGAGCCCCAGCACGAACCGCTACGCCATCTGAGATATATTTAAGTGAGCTGTTGTCCCGCCTTCTGTTGAAGTTTTCAATGCCAACTGACAGACTGACTTGAATATAAAACACAACACCATGTTGAATTTTAAGTTGGTGTTTGTCCGCATGGTATCCAAACACACTTGTGGCGCAGTGGTTAGCGTTCGTAAATAGCATGCCGAATACTCGGGTTCGAATCCAGAATATTGGTATTGATTTTTTTTTAATGTTTGGATAGAATATTGATGCACTGCATAAATATAAGAAATATGATTTATTTGAGCCACTGATCATTTCATATTTACGTACATTATTTTTTTACTAAAAACAGACTTGTGTGGATTGCTTCATGTGGGCTAGGATGGACCTTTTTAGAAACTTTCAAGTTGCTAAGAAGTTCCGCAGGGAACTTTTAAGATACTTTAAAGTTGCTAAGAAGGTCCGCTGGGAACTTATTCAGAACTTTGTTGTGGCCATGTTTTCAGGCTTGCCTGAAGTTCCTAAGAAGTGCTTGGGGATGCTTTTTGGAACTTTTGTTGAACTTCAAGTTGCTAAGAGTACCCATCGGAACTTTTTAGAGCCTGAAGTTCCTCATGTGCTTTCTATAGCTTTTAAAGTAGCCAGAAAGATGTATTGGAACTTTATATGCATTTTATGGAACTTGAAAGTGAGTTTTATCTTTGAATGCGGAACTTATGGTTGCTTGGGAAGAAAGTTCTATCCGAACTTTATTCGAACTTGAAGGTTCTGTTGGAACTTTATTTGAACTTTATGGAACTTGATAGTTCTGTCAGAACTTTAATCGAACTTTGTGCAACTTGAAGGTTCTGTCGCAACTTTATTTGAACTTTGTGGAACTTGAAAGTTAGTTTTATCGTTGAATGCGGAACTTTTGGTTACTTGGGAAGTGACTGAATCTAAGTTCTTTTGGTACTTTATATGACTGTTAAGCCTTAATCTAGAAATAACCAAACTTACTGATTCAGTCATACTATGAAAGTTTATCTATGTCTATGTACTATGTGTTAAAGAGCTTTGAAACTCATAAAACAAAAATTCAACTACCGTAATCCGGGGTCGAAATGATAACCGGGGTGAAATTGATCAAAATGCCTTGCATTTTAAGCCATCCCGTATAAAACTTTCTGTTAAAGATATGAAGAAAAATCTTTAAAGTATTACATCAAAAAACTCTAATGATTGTTTTGATGAGTTTCTCTCAACAAAAAACTACATCTTTGTGAATATTTTTTTTTTTTTTTAGGTTTTCAATAGTTTTCAAGGATAAGCTTACCGCCACGAAAATATATATATAGGGGAAATGGCTCTAATGTTGGCCTATGGATCTAAGATTGGGCCCATCCCTAAAAATCTGCTATTTAGCAATTTTATCTACACACTTAGAAATAACTAATTTTACACGTGACGGAATCCATCTTTGACATAATAATCAGACGTGAGATTTCAAAAATTTCCTAAAAATTTATTTATTTATTTATTAAGGCAACTTTTTGTCATCTTAATGAATGTGATGGGGAAAAGCCAATTTAACTGGCGTAAAACCCCATATCTTTTCACAATGCAGTGCAAACCAAAAATCAACTGTAGTCAAAACATATGAACTTATAATTCAATCAACTCCATTGGACATCCATCATCCGAAGCAATCCTCGTCGGCAGTGGTGAATCGTTACAATTTACGAGCAATGGAATATTACTCACCTTGCACAATAACGAATCTCACTCGATCCAGTCAGTCTACGCTTAAATGTTGCCACAGTAGAGTTGAAGTCGAAGAGGATGTCCACTTCGTTGAACCTAGCCGACATGAAGCGGACAGGATCATGAAGGCAGTACAAGGAGTTCCGGGGCTCAAGCAGCAAAAAGTTTCATTGGCGAAGCAATCGTTCAGAACGTAAAGTTTAAGTTGACCTAGTATCTCCGGTGCGTCAGTTGCTCCTGTGAGAATTTTAGCAACAAACACCGTTTGGGCATCATTTCGTCCCTGCTCAAGCGTCTGCAGTCCCAATAATCTGCACCGATCTCCATATTGTGGTAAGTTCAAAGGATCTCGCCACGGAAGGCGTCGTAGGGCATATCTCACAAAATTTTCTCTGAATTGCTTCAATCCTACCAGTCCAGGTTGACTAGTACGGGCACCATACTACAGAGTTGGATTCCAGAATCCATCGCACCAGAGCGCAGTTCCAGAGATCGAAGGCAGAGAGGATCGGTAAATTCGCAGGATATATTTTTCGACGTAGGACTACGTCTGTGATTTCTATATGGCAGTACACTTTGTTAAAACCGAAAATGGAACATGTAACGAAATTTTGAAAGATTTTGAACGTTAATTACTCAGCTGCCCCTGGACCATTTTCAATAATGTTATCACCAATCAATCATAAATATTTCTACACGTCGATAGCAATGCTTCGGACTGTTGATTTTAAACAAGAAACTATTGAAAAAGTGGTAAATGTCAAGCATTGTTTAAAAGTGTCTAAATAGCTAACAAATCCACCAGTTACGTACATGCATATGCTTCCCCAACACAGCCATCAGTGAATCGTACCTAGACGAAACATGTCGATGTAGCATTGCTGCTTCCCCAACACTGTCATCAGAGGGCCGTTAGTAGACAAAACAAGTTGAAGTGGCATTTGCCTCCGATCTGCGGGCGTGTGCGAATAGGGGGATAAAATTGCGTAACATTTTGCACACTCATTGCCATATTCAGAATCACACGCCCTTAACGACCACACAAAATGCTCTCCATAGTTGTAATCTTCTAACCAAACTTTGAAGCAGGAGTGCAAGTGATTTTGATCGATTCTCTTCATCGACTTTCTGTTTCGTTAATAACTCGACGGCAAAAACATTCGTTGATACGTGTGTTGTTCTGGATGATAGAAGAGCATAGCAGAAATAGTGCGAAATAGGTTAGTGACCATAGTCATCAAAAGAGGAAATAGATGAAGAGAACTGACTTTCACCCCTCTGCTTCTAAGCCCCTTAATTCAGTCGTCGTCATAGCAATGAAAACTAGTATCGCACCGCTTTTGGTTCATGGGTTACACTTGCTGGTTGCCCAAGTAACCACCATGCCCGCTAATAGCACCCTAATCGCCCTTTTTGCAATATAAGGTTAATATAAAGCAGTCGTATATCAGCTTTATATTGCAAAAAAGGCGATTAGCGGGCTTGTTGGTTACTTGGGTGCAATTGTGCTGTTTAACATTTTCGAAGGACCACCAAAAAATATGAAACTACACTATTTTCTAGGGATGCCTAAAAGTCAAATTATTCACTAAATAGTTGTGACATTTTACCCATTTGAATAAATTTTGCTTCTATCTTTGACAATACAGCAGAAGGACTAGCCTATGTTGGCAGCTTGAACACTGGATTCCGTGTGTATTGTTTCAAGATAGTTATAGAAAAAAAATGCTGTGACGTGTGAGCGTAGATACATCCGCGTAGTAATCCAATTGAATAAGTAAATCCGTGTCGAACGAAATATCTAAATTATGTAAGTTACGAAAACCAGAACAATCAAAGCGAAAAAATGCTTATTATCATTTAAAGAGTGCCACCAAAATAAATGTAATAGCCTATGTTAGCAAGTTGATTAATTTTGGTTTCCTCCCTAGATATTCTACTTATTTACTAATGTGGAGGCGAACCAGCCCAAGGCTGAAAGCCTCCCTAATAAAGATAAATAATAATAATAATACTTATTTACTACTGAGCTTTGTATCAAATTAGTTAATTTAACGGACGTATCAATCATTTCAAAATTTCGCGACCATACCGAACGAATTGTATACTACATAAGCTCAAAAGCGTTTGACAAGCTCTACCGAATTGCGTATCATTTCTGCGATCGATTTTACAGTCACGAAGGGTTTAGTTCATAGATTAACATTGACTGCTGTTTACGAATGTAAGTACTTGAACAAAAAGAAATAAGTTAACTCAAATGCTTTAACCGCATATATCAGAGATTTCGCATATTGAGAGAATAAAATAGTAATCGAATACTATAAACTCAGGGGAAAACAATACCTACAAAAGATTAAAAGTTATTAATTGTCACATACCTCTAATTTTACTTATTTCCTAAACTATTCCTCTCCTTGTTAATCTGCTTAATGCCTCTGGTCTGCTTGCGTTTTCTTATTGAAGTTCAAGACTAAATAAGAAGATTAATTCTACAAATTTAAAGGTTAGTTGCCCCCCTAAGCGGACTCCCCACATCCTAATTCCTACTTAATGTTATTAGACTATCTGAAGTTTCCTATTTAAGTTCATTTGGTGATTATGATATCTCATTAGTCTAAATAAATGAATAATTGAAATCACTAATTCACCTAATCAATCATAACCCATGCTTTATTTAAAGTACCTGCACTTGTGCTGGTAATCTAAAATTAAACGTGTTTCAAGTACTTTTCAATTTACCTATATTTATAATATCTTAGTTCGACACAGGTGACACCTTCAAGTGACTAAAATGCTTCACTTAGTTAGTTTCCAAGTTGATTTTTAAATTATATAGGGTATATGCTCCAACTATGCTCACACGCTTCCAGTCAATTTCCATTGACTTCAGCCAATTAATATTTTAAAGGAAAAAATACATTCGAGAGATTGAGATGGGACAGCCCTATTCAGAATTCCGACTCAACCGCAAACATAACCAAAATGAAACGGAAGCACAAGTCTTATTCAAAAGTAAAACCTTCCTATTCAATAATATATCCGTTTTATTTATTGCTTTTCGAAAATAAATACAGAGCTCTGACTAGCATATACTACGCTTAACCTACACCAGAAAATTTGTAATGGCACCTGACTGGCAAAGCACCGATGCACACCGTGCCCCCTGCGGTGCAATGCTCTCTCTCTCTCTCTCACTGTTTTCGCATAATACTTTCAATGGTAAAATTACTCGACTTTAAACCACTCGTCTTCTTCGGTCGGCAACCACTGGTGGTAGAACAAACCGACCCCATGCTGGCTGCGGCAGCAGTAGCAGTTCCGGAAGTACTGCCAACTTCTACCGGTGTCTGTTTTTGTTGTGGTTCCATTTGCGGTGAACTGTTTACAATGCTCCGCTCATCGGTCCTTTCCGGCCGTTTTCCACGGTTCTGGCGATGGTGATGCCGGTGGTACTCCTCGACGTCGCCATCGTCGTTCAAATGGCCACCCGTGGCGTTCGTCGTTAAGCTTTTCACCTTCAGCTCACCGAGCTCGCCCAGGAATGCATCCAACGAGGGAAAACTCGATTGAAAATTATCTAAATAATTATCAGAAGCCTTCGCTGCGGCAGCAGCAAACTGGCACGTGGAGTCCACGGATGTTCTAATGGTAGCGGTGGCTAAGCATTCACCGTAGTCCACCACCACCGCAGGGAAGCTCGTTAGACTACCGCTATCGGTTGCTTCATCAAAATCTCGTTTTATGTCTTCATTTGTCGAAATTGGACCACCTGAAGCCGATTGTTGCTCGTGATGCTGGAACTGATAGTGCTGCTGCTGGTGGTGGTGATGAAGGTAATTCTGCGGTGGCGAAGAGCACGTCGAGTTGGACGAATGACACGGTGACGAGGAAATCGGCAGTAGCACGCCAGGTAATGATGAAGAGCTCGGCAGCGAAAGCATGGAATGGCCAGCACTCCCACCAACGGCCGTCACCGTTGCTCCAGGGTAGCAGTTTGCTGCGACTGCCTCCAAATTGTGGCCGCCTATCAGATGATGAAAATCGGTCGTGGATGCTGTTGTTTTAATGAATTCCGCCGTGGACGCCGAAGGGAACGCCATGGCGAACGGTGATGTCTGCGTTGCGGAAATAGATAGATGGAAAGAGAGAGAGAGAGGGAAAAAAAAAGATGAAACGGACGCGTCATCAGAGATGAGAAAAAATTGGACTGATGTTTCACTTAGATAAGGATCTAAAATTGGAAAATTCCAAACTACACGGAGGGAAGTTTGGGGAATTCGTTGACCAATTGTGATTTACACACAGTCATTCTGGACTGTAAATGGTGTTTATGACTAAATTTATTGGGTCATAAGTTAATGGTGTAAAAAAGAACATCCTGACATCAGATTCAAAATATGTTGTCAAATGTGTAAACAGATTAAAATATTATGAGAATTCCTAAATGTATTGCACAATTCCCTCAGTGCAACCCGCACTCGTTAGGAACAAGCTATCTCTTCCTGTACACCGAACAATCACACACCACACAGCACAACACTACACCCACCTGGAAGTGGCCGTTCAGGATCATTTTCGCGTTCCGCTGCCGGCGCGTTCTCCGTCGGCGGTAATTGCCCTGTTCGAACATATCGTTCGCCGACGGGTCGAGCATCCAGTAGCTTCCTTTGCCGCCACCGCCACCGACGCCACTGCTGCTTCCGTCGTTGGAATCTGCACCATCGATCGACTTGCCGCCGGCACCTGCACCAGCTCCAGCACCGGAAGAGGAAGAGGAGGAGGATGATTTGTCACGAGGTACCTTTATGAAGCAGTCATTCAACGACAGGTTGTGTCGAATGGAGTTTTGCCAACCTTGTTTGTTCTCGCGGTAGTACGGGAAGCTGTGGAGAAGGGTATTATTTGAATTATTGCATAAATTTGACTGAACTGAAATGGAATTTGTATTGGTTTGAAAAATAGGGACTCACACAGTCTCGTCAGAACAGTAAACAAAGTATCAAGTTTCGACGTATCTTTTAACTAATATTAAGGAAATTTTTATAAGCTTAAAAACCATGTTAATTTCTGCGCTATATAGCGCTCACGTTATCATCGCTAGATTCGGTGTAAATTGGCAAACAATTTCGATGTTTGTGCCAATTATAGCTTAAAATTAAACGAGGGGAGATGATACGTGATGTTTAAATTTCAGATTGTTTTTCTGTGTATATATGCCTTTTTATTCCTTTGCTTTGGTTGTAAAAGGTTATCAAGAGCTCAGATCTATCAGATCTATCAGATTCAACTCGTCCAGCTATGGATGCCTTTGATTTGTTTGACATATTTCAGTCTTCAAAAAGCATCCCTTTGCTCTAAGATAAAAAAAAGGCAAGCTTTGGAGTGATTTGTTAAAATCTATCCATTTTTCCAAACTCAGCATTAGGAGTCCCAAAATAACATTTTTTCTTGAAACCTGGAGGCTCACCATTAGTGTGCTACAAACAAACTTTCGTATGACGGCAACTCTGGGAAATGTCGTTTGTCACATCCCAAGTAACATTTAAAGTTTTATAAAATACTACAAAGCTACTATAAAACAACATTCATAAAACCCTGGTAAAGACAGCTTTGCCATTGATGCATCCACCAAAACCTCATTGATGCTAGAATCTGTATATTTGGCCCACCCTGTAGAAGGTTCTGAAGGGTATATTTTCGAAGCTCTTCAAGATTGATTTACCGCAAAATGGTTGTACGATAAACGCATTGAGATCCATATCAAAACCGTATTTAAGCTACAATAAAAGCTATTTGGCAACAATTAAAACCACTATCCGAGCCATTTACCTTAGCTGCTTGCTCGGTTCACTAGAAAAACAACAATCAAGATAAAAAAGATAAAAATCCTGCCGAATTTCCAAAATAATAAAAAAAGTTCTCATAAAGTGGCCTAGTTTAAAGTGCCATATAAAATTTGATGTGAAATGTAGGTGAAAACATCGAAAAACTTTAGTCCGCCCACGGAAAATATCGATTTTACTAATTGTTTAACATTAAGAAAAAAATCAAATATATTCTTCAGAACGATTATTAAGCTTAGCCAAGATTTTTGTTTCTCATGATTTTTGCATTCTAAATATTTTCTCATTGCTAAATTAACAAAATTAAAGTTATATTCAAGGAAATATAGATTGAAAATCGAAGATTGAAAAAAAACAAACAAAATAATTGTAATATGGCGGAGGCATAAAAGTTGATTTTCATGTGCCATTTGTGAAAAAGTTATTTTGCTTTCAAGAAATCCTTAACAAATTCATAAGGTTTTGAAACGGCTTTTATGAAGAAAACTTGTAGACTGAATTGTATTTATCTAAAGCCATTTTGCTTGATCCTAACCCGTTCAGATTTATGGCAGCATTTATGGCGGCAATGTTGCCTAGAAAATGTTAAACGTCAAAGTTTGTTTATCTTTTGATAGTTGCGCTGTGCGATTCAGCGTTCTACCAGGCGATTCTCTCCCGATGAATTGGAAGCAGTTACTCAGAAAGTGTTCACAACATTTCGCATTTTGCACAGTTGTAACCTCGATCATTAGAGTGATGCAAAATTTGAAATTTTTGCTCCACAATACTTAAACGATTCCAAATCGGATCCTGACTAACCTCTCAAAATTTGAACCCATTTGGTGAGAAACTGAGATGGCACAAACCATTTGAAGTTTGTATGGGAATTACTATGGTAAAACTAAGATTTTTGTTCATGTCTATCTAATAATTCACCATATTGGTCTGCTTCAAAAGCTTGCAGGAAATTTTCTCAGCTACAACTTTGCTCAAGACCACTTTTTGATTAAATGCAAGGATCGAAAGTTATTAATGGTTCAACGCACTGATGTCTTATGATCATGCTCAATCAACTGCTCAGCAGGCAACATTGGTGTTTCTGGGGCGTTGAATAGGACACAAAAATCATGGCTACTATGTCACACTGCAAAATACAGTGTTGCCTACACAGCAGCTGCTTGATCATGTCATAAGTTTTCCGATCTCTTAAATAATTAATAACTATTTCCTGTCTCGTTTAACATAGAAACGATCTTCAGCAAAGTTGTAGCTGAGAAAATTTTCTATAAGAATAGCTATCGAGTTGTTTTGCAGCTCAATATGGAAAAAGACTAGAAGGCAATGACCAAAAAGTTGAGATTTCCCATAGTAATTTACATGTAAATTTCAATTGGTTTGTGCGAAGTCTGTTTCTAACCAAATGAGTTGTAACTTTTGGAGGCTAATCACGACCCGATTTGAAATCATTTAAGCACTGTGGAGCGAAAAAGTCAAATTTTGCATCAGTCTACTCGATCATTCCCGAAAAGATCCCCATCTTCCTGATGATTCTGGAAGTCCGGGTACGGGTGAATGATTTTTTTTCCAAGTGATGACTCTTTCGCCGAATAAAATCGCAGCTATGGATCGGAAACCAACTAGTGTCCGCTAACTGACAGTTTCAGTGGTTTACTATCGGTACTGACACAAGTTATTCCGATCTTCATCGATTCGCAAGGTCTGTTTTATGAATTTGAGGACCACGCTCACTTCACTCTTCTCCACCAGATGCTCAGTCGTTGATGGTACCCGTTCCGCCGGACGTGCGGTTCTTCTAAAGAACTAAATTTTACTGAAATCGACTTCCCTTCGGTCGTTAGCATCGCTTGAATTTTTCCTTCAACTTCGTTTATCCTTCGAGATATCCTTGTCATAAATTTGGTTTTTATTCACTATGAGGATCCATCCTTAATGTACAATTTGTAAACAGAGGAGATTTTATGATACACTTTTAAAAGCCTAAAAGGCAACAATATATGCCTTTTAATCGCATTTAAATCCTAATAGTTTTATGATTGCTTTAATAATGATAGAACAGGTTTATAGAGTATTTGATCAAGACATTAATCATAAATTGCTAATGAAGTTTATGATTGATTTGAACAGTTTTATGGTGGGATTGAGAACTACTTTAAATTTAATTTTAAAACAAGACAGTTTTTGACTTCTCGCCAGACTGTAAAAGGTTTTTAAAACAGCGAAAAGGTGAACTACTAAGCAGGAACGTTTTACACTGCGAAATGCTGTATTTAAACTAAATGGATTATTCATTGCCATAATAAAACCATCATAAATCAGAGTGGATGCCAATTGATTGCAGAATTGTTACTTGGGATGTTCGCAAGTTTTTTTTATTCTTATTAAAAGCTTCCGGACATTCATTCCATTTCAGGGAGGAAAAGGAAAAAATAGCATGTAAGAAAATAGGTTTAAAACATAAATGATAAATGAAAAATCTTGATCTTTGTTGTTCTTATTTTTTTCTCTACTTGGGTGCTACTCGAGTGATTTTTTATCGAGGATATCAAGACTTTGGCTCTACAACTAGAAGTCAAGGAAATAGAGATCTGAAATTTGTAAAGTGTGAATCTGAACCATGAAGTCTGAGCAGTCATACTCAAATTGGATGGATCTGCTGTGATTTTTGTCTAGGCTGGTTCCACATTTCCTTTGTGGTTCGTCTTCATAAGGGCTGTACTTCAATGACTGCTTCTGAGCCCCAGGCAGCGTGTATTTTTACAAGTAGCTTTGAAACCAAGGTGGAGCCTCAAACGAACTCGTGACTTCCCGATATTATGATGAAGGTGTGGCGGATCGCTGAACCTATCAAAGGAGAATATTACTCGGGGAATTTCAGACAGATGAACCGGAATGGTATATTTTGGTTTCTGTCAAGAAGTGGATCATCTACAATTGGGATTGCTACGCTGAAAAGTGGCATTGCGTCTTGTTGCAGACTTGGTGAGATCGTTTCTTTTTTATCGTTTTTTTGCCAGTTTGCACTTTGTTTCTGTGAGTCCATGTTTGAGGTTGATCATGTGCCCATACGGTTTAAGAAGGAGTAGACTGTGCGTGTGATCTAACGTGACGTTTGTTTTTTTTCCGTGGAGCTTTTTTTAAATCTATAATCGGTTGCTGGTCTGGTCAAAACCAGGCCCACGAGCCGATTTTTAGTTTGTCAGCGAGTTCATTAAGACATAAAAAGTCCTGTGAGAGGTGCATCTCATTTTATCTAGTTCTACCTCCCTGTTATTATCAGCTGAGAAGCTGTAGCGAAGACAAGTAGAACCTCCATGAGGCGTCCCATCATTCGTCCCATAATTCGTCCCATCATTCGTCCCATAGTTCGTCCCATCATTCGTCCCATAGTTCGTCCCATAGTTCGTCCCATAGTTCGTCCCATAATTCGTCCCATAATTCGTTCTATAATTCGTCCCATCATTCGTCCCCTCAATCGTCCCATCATTCGTTCCATCATTCGTCTCAGCGTTGAGTCGCAGCGCTGAACCTGACAATTGGCCACGAAAAGGCTTGCCAATGCACCTACACTTAGACAAATTAATGTTAATTTAGGTGCACTGAATGCGACATATATGTACGAGCGTTAATTTTGACATAAATTTGAGTCATAACAGACTCGAAATATAGCTCAATCACTTTTCGTCGAGCAACGAAGTTTTGAGTCTCGGGGTACGTAATATTACATGACACGTTAGTTTACGTCTCATCTTTTATGTCAAAGATGGATTCCGTCACGTGGAAAATAAGGGAAGACATTCCGTTCAACTACCATAAACTGGACTAGTTCATGTTGATCTTCGTCAAGCTTCGTCGACAATTTGGACTTCTACATCAACACATGTCAAGCTGCCTTCAGGTTCAATTGGCTAAACTTGGTGAGTTCGTTCCATTTTGTAAATTTTTATCTTTTCAAACCAGTAACGTTGGGAGATCACCTTTTTGTGGTGCGTTACTGGTATAAGATCTACCACCGAACCCTAGTCGTGACAACTTCAAAC